GGAAATGAAGTCCAAAGGAAAGTTCCCATTGGAACCAGCTGGATCTATTCTTCCTGCCCAAGGACTGGTGTGTGCTGGATGAGGGTAGGAATAATGAGTATCCATAGCTTTATATCCCCCTCCTGAAAAGCTTTGGTGGCAAGGAAAAAAACCCCGCGAGTGTCCAGCCCAGGGCAACTCATCAAAAGCCAGTGTCCCCCTTCATGCTAATTAAAGAGAAGATTTTATACATATTGACCTTAAAAAACAAAAGAGTCAGCTATTTTTCAGGAAAATGAATTTATTCTGGAATGGCAGAGAATTGCAATTTGGGAGAAGAAAAATATGGTGAACCAGAAGCAAGTCTGGATTTGTTTTTGTAGGGGAAGAGAGGAAGCTGGGAAGGGCTGTTACAGATTCTCCTTGGCTAAGTGTGGAAGTCTAGGCTGTTGCTGGGCAGGGAGAAATTCTTCCTTCCTGCTGCTGGAGTATATAAAGTAAGCTTCTTCCAGCTGGGGTAATGCAAGCTGTGTTTCTTAAGGTGAGGGGTAGTATTAGAGCTCCCCCTTCAGGGATTCCAGACTCCATTTTTATTGAGGTTTCCTTTACTTTTACATATGCAAAGCAGACCATAATTAATTTGTTTGTTTTATAGACTTTATTTTTTAGGGCAGCTATAAGTTCACAGCAAAATTTAGCAAAAGGTACAGAAGTTTCCCATTTATGCCCACACATGTGTAACCTCCCTCATTATCAACATCTCCCACCAAAGTGGTACATTTGTGAAAATTGATGAATCTACATCGACACATCATTAATACCCAGAGTCCATACTTTACAATAGGGTTCATTCTTGGTGCTGTGTATTCTATGGCTTTGGACAAATGTGCAATGGCATGGACTTCCCATTATAGTGTCAGGCAGAATCCTGTGTACTTCACCTATTCATCTCTTCCTTCTCTCTAACCCCTGGCAGCCAGGGATCTTTTTACTGTCTCCATAGTTTTGCCTTTTCCAGGATGCCATATTGTTCCAATCATACAGTATGTAAACCTTTTCAGTTTGGCTTCTTTCACTTAGTAATGTACATTTAAATTTCCTCCGTGTCTTTTCATGGCTTGATAGCTCATTTTTTTCAGGGCCGAATAATAATCCATTGTCTGGAAGTACCACCATTTATCTACTCAGCTACTGAAGGACATCTTGGTTGCTTCCAAGTTTTAACAATTATAAACAAAGTTTCTAAACATTAATATGCAAGTTTTTATGTGGGCATAAGTTTTCGGCTCCTTTGGGTAAATAGCAAGGAGTGTGATTGCTGGATCATATGGTAAGAGTATGTTTGGTTTTGTGAGAAACCACCAAATTGTCTTCCAAAGTGCCCAAGCCATTTTGCATTCCCACCAGCCATGAATGCGAGTTCCCACTCCTCTACATCCTCGTCAGCACTTGGTGTTGTCAGTGTCCTGGATTTTGGCCTTTCTAACCCACGTGTAGTGGTATCTCATTGTTGTTTCAATCTGCATTCCCTGATAACACATGTTGTGGAGCATCTTTTTATATCTTATTTGCCACCTGTATATCCTCTTTGGTGAGGTGTCTGTTCAGGTCTTGGCTTATTATAAATCAGATTCAGACTCCCTGTTTGAGTTAGTGTCTCACTCTCTGGGACCATGTATGTGGACTAGAACCAGCAAATGCAAAGGAGTATTTGTGGGATATGTTCCTGGTGTAAATGAGGCTTCGACTCTGAACTGCACCTCTGGCCAACTGTCAGAAGTTCCTTCCATTATTACTACCCCTAAAATGAGCACACTCAGAATGATGTGATTACACTACTCCTGCCTCCGCCTCGCTGCTCCCCCCCTCCCCCACCCAGCTTCTTCTCATCTCAGCTGCCCACGTGTACATGTTGGAAAGGAAGGAATTCATATCATAACACTCCTCTGTCAAAACCCTGCAGCGGCTCATCCCTGGCCACCCCACCCTCTAGCTGCAGCTCTAACAGGTCAGGCACACTCCCAACTCAGGGCTTTCACACATGCTTTCCCTCTGCCTGGACCCAGCTCAAGTGTGACTGGCTTCATCCACACTATTTAAGGTTGCAGGTCCCAACCGGACTACGTCTCACGCTTTACCCAGCTTTGTCCTTTTCCATTGCACTTACCATCATCTGACACCCTGCGTATCTTGCTTATTTATTCATTGTCTGTTTTGCACAAGTACACGACACTTTCACCAAGGCAGGAGTTTTGTTGTTGCGCCTCACTGCTATATCCCTAGCATAGAGAACAGAGCTCAGCTATTGCAAGATTCTCTCAACATGTTAAATGAATATTTGAGGGGCGCCTGGCTGGCTCAGTGGGTAGAACATGGGACTCTTGATCTCAGGGTCATGAGTTCAAGCCCCATGTTGGCTGAGGAGCATACTTTAAAAAAAAAGAATGAGTATTTGAAACAAGTGATTTAGTCATCATTTTGATACTGCCATTGGGCCATATCATGTTTAGAAATACATTAAACTTGCCCGTGAAATCCACACCGTTGAAATGTCTTTTAAGTGAGACCATACAAGATGCTCTGATTATTTCAGTAACAGAACTTCCTTGGCTATGACCCAAAATACAACCAAAGTAAGCCACAGCCTATTCTATAAGAAATGTAATTTTTAAAGCTCCCATTTTTTGCTTTTATTTGCTTAGGACAGCCATGTCTGCCTGCAATGAGTCATCTCAAGCAGTGAGGAAAGCATTCATATGAAATACATGTAGCTACTTTTTCTTTTGTCTAGGGTAATTGAAGCTGAGGCCAATTTACCAGAAGTTAGGAGATAGCTCCATGGCTGTGTCCCAGAAGTATCCACCCCCAGCTCTGCTCTCCTAATGGGAGGGTAGCTTCACATCAGAGGATTCAGGTAACCTAGGTCTGGGACATCATAGCAAAGTGTTGGAATCAATCCAAGTCAAGCAAAAACAGTATCATTGCCTTCCTTTGAAATGCCAGTAATAGAGATTTGTAAGAGGAGGAGGTTAAAAAGAAAACTGAGCAGACAGCTATGGTCTACACTGGAGGCCCTGCCCGCCATCCTCTTGGCCTCCCGACTTCATGCCCATTAGCTTCCTTTCCAAGTGTCCCTCACTGCATTTCCACTGAGTATTTCCTTGCCACAGACTGGAAGCACCAAAGGAATTACGATGCCCCCCCCTCCAGGAAAAGCCATCAAACAATGGTTACCGTAAATAGGTGTATAAATAGGCCACCTCCTTCGCCTTTAGGTGGGATAACTCTGACGTGGGTCTTCCACACAAGGCCTAAGCTCCAGCTGCCCACCGTGGAAGCTGGCTTGGTAACATCTTTGATCGACTCCCCTCCCATCCTGGATCACTTCCCTGCTCCCTCACCTTCACTTCTCACATCAATTCTTTGCACTCTGAGGCTTATCCTGGGATTGGCTTCTGAGGGAATCCGTATTGAGACAATGTCCATTTCAAAAGGACATCAACCTGTAGTAAGGTACTTTCATGTAAAACCTTTTTTCTTATTGCTTTCAATCCCCTTCTTTCCTTCTCTCTCTCCTTTTCCTTTTTTTCTCCTGATTTCTAAGCCCCACATTCTTCTCTTCTCCTCTCTCTCCCTCTTTTTTCATGCTGTCAAATGACAGCTCACCTACCTGATTGCAAACCCTGTGCTGCTGCTAAAACCAAGTTGTTATTGATACAGGCCATTGAGAAGCTGTATCCTTCTTAGAGGGATTGGGACATTATTAACATATTCAGACAAGGTAAAATATGATCTCCTTGCCTGCGGAAGCCTCATCTTACTGACAGCATGCCAGGACAGCCTCCGGAAACTTGGCACAGCTGCCTTTCAGACTAACGGACCAACTTGGAAAAGCAGAACATATGACAGCTCAGTAAGAAAGTTGATAAACCGAGGGCAAGACTGCTCCCATGTAGCACATTACTCTCCACTGAAAGCCGCTAATGAGCTCAGGCAGTCCTTGCCCTGGGACTCCCATTTGCTTTGTCTTGTGGTGTCCAATAAGCTAGGAGTGCTAACCCAGAAAGTTTTGTGGAAGTTACAACACAAAGGGAGGTTATGAGCCAAATACTCCTTGATCCCTGTATAATCAAACAAGAACTAAGTAATTTCAGCCTAGACAAGATATTACTCACCCCCATTATGTGTTGCTTGGGTTCACTGCAATGCAGTATCTATGCTTTTAAAGCCACTCTTTGGTGATTCATGTTTTCAGAGACTCGGATTTGGGAAGGTTGGAAATATAAGGAAAGGAATTATTGGGGGTGATAGAACTTGTCAGAAGTGCAGATTTGGACGCCCGCCCTGGCGGCGGCGGCAAACGGCCTTGGCCCCGCCCCCCGGGACGCAGCGCCGGTCACCTGACGCAGCTGCGGGCTGAAGAGACACAAGGGAAGTCGCTGTCGCCACAGTCGAGGAGCTTCTGCTGCCGCCGCCACCGCCTGCAGGAGCCGGGACCCTCCGCCTCACCGCCTCCGCTTCGCCGCCCGCGCCATGCTGTCTGAGAAGACCTTCAAGCAGCGCCGCACCTTCGAGCAAAGAGTAGAAGATGTCCGACTTATCCGAGAGCAGCATCCTACCAAAATCCCAGTGATAATAGAACGGTACAAGGGTGAGAAGCAACTTCCTGTCCTGGACAAAACCAAATTCCTTGTACCTGATCATGTCAACATGAGTGAGCTCATCAAGATCATTAGGAGACGCTTACAGCTCAACGCTAATCAAGCCTTCTTCCTGCTAGTGAATGGACACAGCATGGTGAGTGTGTCCACGCCGATTTCTGAAGTGTATGAAAGTGAGAAGGACGAAGACGGATTCCTGTATATGGTGTACGCTTCTCAGGAGACATTTGGAATGAAACTGCCTGTGTAAGACTAGAAAAATGCATCTGTTCTTGAATTTTTTTAAAACCTTACCAAGGAGAAAAAAAGGGATATTAACCAACTGAGATTGATGAGTTCATCCAATTACAGATCATCAAAACAGTAGTGTTCCTGCCTAGGAGTTTTAGGAAGTTGTTTTGTACTGTAAGCAGAAAAACTGAGCTCCAAATGAGCACATTCAGCTTTGGAAAACTACATTATTTAACCTAGGCTGTTTTGTTTTCAAATTTAGAAGTTTAAAAATAAAATACTTTGTATTCTAAAAAAAAAAAGAAGTGCAGATTTGATCTTTATGTTGATTTCATGCACTGTTATCTTTCTAAAGACATGGATGGTCACTAGAGAACACACTGCTGGTGTCTCCCCTCCAGACACCCCATAGCCCCTTAGTACCCCCATCTCTGGGCATGCCAACCCAAAAGCTTCCAGCTAGAAGCCCCCGAGGATCTTCTGGGGCCTCTGGAGCCCCTGAGTCCTTGGAAGTAGCCCTCCACCATGGCCTTCCACCCATGGTGGAAACTGATAAATAAGGACTCCAGCAACCTTGCCCGCTGGCTAAGGTAACTCTGAGGTGTGCCCCATGAGGCTCCCGAAGTCCCCAGCAGAAGCAAGCTGTGTATGCCCTTCACTAACCTGCCGGATAACATGGCCTCCACTGCCCTGTGATTGCTTCTCCCAATAAAGCCTGGGCACACAAGCACTGTCTCACGTCTGCTTTCCAGAGAGCCCAAGCTAGGACTTCCTGCTCTCTTTTCCCCCTTAGGATGCAAGTAACTATGGGGCACCCTCCAGGGCCCTTATGCCTTTTACAGAGGCAATTTCAGACACACTACCCCCAAAGAGTAATTGTAACTGCAGTGCAAAACTCTAGAGACACTGCTGGACAGATGTAGTCTTTTATCGTTTATATCACTGTAGGAAGCTGTTGACTCTGCTCCTGGGACTAGTTTAGTCATGTTGTTTGTATGTGCAGTTGAGCTGAAAACAGTAGAAGAAGATTTGGATGTGAAATAATGAAATAGTCCAGATTTGTTTAGAGCACACTCGTGCATGCATGCACATACACACACACGTTTACTACCCCTAACAAAGAAACTAGTTTGTACTGGTTTTCCAGGGCTGCCCTAACAAAATACTGCAAACTAGGGGGGCTTAGAACAACAGAAATTTATTCTCTCACAGTTTTGGAGGCTAGAAGTCCAAAATCAGGGTGTTGCCAGGACCATGCTTCTGAAATCTGTAAGGAAGAATCCTTTCTTGTCTCTTCCTAGTATCTGGTGGTTTGCTGGCAACCTTTGGTGCTCCTTGGCTTATAGAAAGCATCACTCCATTCCTCTGTCTTCACATGGCATTCTCCCTGTACCTTTTCACACTGTCTACCTTCTGTGCTTGTCTGTCCACATACCTTTCTCCTTTTTATAAGGATGTTGGTCAGATTGGATTAGGAGCCACCCTTATGACCTCATCTTAACTTTTTCGTAGGAAGTTTAGGATCCACTTGTCCATTTCTGCAAAAAAAAAAAAAAAAAAAAAAAGCCACCTGGGATTTTTATAGGGAAAGCAGTAAATTTGTAGAACAGTTTTGAAGAGTATTGCCATCTTAACAATACTTAGATTTCCAATTCACAAGCACGGGATACCTTTCCATTTATTTATGTCTTCTTTAATTTCTTCCAACTATGTTTTATGGTTTTCAGTGTACAATGAGCTTGTTTATTAGTCCTAGAGGGTATGTATGTGTGTGTGTATGCTGTGTGTTCCTTAGGATTTTCTGTAGTCAAGATCATGTCACCTATACATAGAAATAACTTTACTTTTTTCCTTTATGATGTGAAATACCATTTATTTCCTTTTTCTTGTTTAATTGAGTTGGCTAGAATCTCTAATGAAATGTTGAATAAAAGTGGCAAAAGAAAATATCTTTGTCTTTTTTCTGACCTTAGAGGGAAAGATTTCATCAGTAAATATGAGGCTATATGTTGGTTTTTATTAAGTTGAGGAAGTTCCCAGAATGTATTTTTAATTTGTTTATAAAATATGCTTTATGTAAAATTCACATAACATTTTGTGTCTGGAAACTTTCTACATGTGGGAAATCAGATCCTTGAATTCTTTGGGGAATTCTAGGATTACAATGAATCTATGGCCAAACAGCTCCATTTCATGGAAAGGGAGTATTTTCCAAGGTTGCCTGGTAGATTTGCAGGAAAAGGGACTGGAGACTCTGACTCCCTGAGAAATTCTTCCCAGCTTCAGAATTCAATAGACAAGTCCATGTTCGAGTGGCAAGTTCTGAAAAGAGTGTCAGTGGTTCTTTTTTTCCAGAAGAACCCACAATTATAAAAGGGCTTTATATAAGAGTTTATCATGAAAGCTCTTTGTGCTAAGTATGGAATAATGTTTCTTTAGGAGCCACAAGGAATAGGAATTTTGCCTAACATTGGGATAAATTTACATAAGACTTTGGAATTAAATGAGAAGTATGGTACCCATGTCTTAGATCTCAGGAAATCCCAGCCAAGAGCAAGCATGTGCTGAGAGTTGGGGTTCACTCATTTTGCCATCACAGAGAATGCCAGTTGCAACAAGCCATCATTGCATAGCCATATAAAAGAATTCAAGATGTCAAGAAGATATTACTTATGGACAGCATATGTGAAAGTGTGGTATTCATACTACTGGTGGTAGACAAAATAATTCTATATGTCAAACTACAAGAGTAAAACTGATCAAGAACAGCTGCTCAATGCTCAGTCATTACTTACCCCATATTGACACTTGGCCATTGGTAGATCTCAAATACTTTTGCCTTTGAATTGGCTGAATTTTTGTTGCTATTTCAGTTCTTTTCAGGGTGTCTCCATACTGCGCCCAGGAGTAGGAGAAAACCTTGGGTTTAAATACAATAGATGTCAAAGGCAAGGGAAGCAAGGGCAAAAATGAATTATTGGGACTTCATCAAGATAAAAAGCTTTTGCAAAGCAAAGGAAACAGTCAACAAAACCAAAAGACAACCGACAGAATGGGAGAAGATATTTGCAAAT